AATCTCAGTCCCAGGAATTCCACACGCGAGTAGGGCTTCTAGAAAGCTGTTCACCGTGGACAAGCTGGCGCCTTCAACAATTGCATACGCTCACTTGAACCAGAAAGTGATCAAGGGTGGGGCGTCACGGATATTCATCTATTGGCTCGCTGAGCGTGCGCTGGAGAAAGCACGAACTTCCCCTTCAAATCACAATGGGTTCCTTCCTCAATTTTTTCCGAAAGCATTGCGAAGGGTTCTTCCGGAAAACCACTTGAACACTTCCTCAATTTTTGAAACGCAGTTGAAGGCACCGTGCCAACGTGCTGGCATTGACCAGCATATACACTGTGCTTGCAGACCATGGGCCCTTCAGCTGAAAGTTAAAACCGTGTAGAACCGCCCCTAAAACCATTCGTACAAAGAACACATTCTCCTGACGCAAGTCCCAGGCGGAAACTTCCTCCTTCAGCTGTCCAGTCCATCCACGATGCCTACCTCGTTTTCCGAAGGTCTTACAATAGACGCTAGGCCCAAATTATTAGGGCTGTTAGGGTCAATGCTGTTTTTGGGGTGTTCTCATGTAACGAGACTCTAGATGTATACCGAGACCTTGCGCATGAAAGCCTGGAGTCCCAGAAGCTCACGTGGCAGCTTCTCCCGAAGCAACACACGATGGAGCATTTGTTCCCTGGCTTTCAATCACTGGGGCAGTTTAATTAAACTGTTCAAACAAAATCATGTTCCACGTCCACTCCCCTGTCAACAAAGGTGCCTCGACTGGGTCCCTATCTTTGGAAATGCCAGACACTACTCACTATACCTAGATGAAGACCTAATCGGCAGGATGAAGTGACCAGCCGGCATTTGGATTTACTGTCTTTTAAAGGTGGTTGAACGCAAACCAGTTTTGGAAGGGCAACCGAGTTGAGGAAAGTTGTGGCCCACACTCACGTTCGAACGATGAGTGTCTCTGCACTCAATCATTATGCAATGATGCATTGCTTGCCCGCTGTGTGTGAGTAAAAAACTTGCTGCTTGAAGGGGCTGTGACCTAAGGTCGGAACGATTTTTTTCGTGATTGTTCGGGTTCTGTGTACTTGTGCACGTGTGCAGTATGTGTGTTTACAGTGAGAGATGTCTATTGGACGTACCTGCACTGCAACCCAAATCTTTGGTGCGACCCTGCGCAGTCGAAATGCACTTCGAACATTTTGAACGGCATGAATGTACTGTAAATAGCAGCAAACTATGTGTCCAAAAAAACATAGCTGAGAACTGGCTGAAAGTTTGAAGCCACTGGCACCAAGGCTTCGTTAGCCTATACGTCTACCGGCTCTAAAGGTGAACCATGCGTCTGCCCAACCTCTGGTGGTTCTGCAGCATGTATCGAGAGAAGGCTCCGAAGGAGGTTTAGTGCCACTGATTCCAGCAGGTTCCACAGCAGGTTCTAGGGCAGGTTCGAGAGCAGGTTCCAGAGCAGGTTCCAGAGCAGTTTCCATAGCAGTTCCAGAGCAGGTTCCAAAGCAGGTTCCAGAGCAGGTTCCAGGAGCAGGTTCCAGGAGCAAGTTCCAGCTACCGTTACGCCATAAAAAAAATGTGGAGGGCGGCCCAGGGTTGATCCTCCCGGAGGTAGTGTACAATTCCTATTCTGTCCGTATATTGCAGGCGATGGGCGGCTCCGCATATTTAAAAATAATCATTCATGAAAACGGCGCAGGATGACCAAAGCACCAAAATATGGGTGATGTCCAAGGACTTAATTCGATTGACCGGGTCGAATCTGCATGCCTAATTCTGGTACGATCCAGTACTAGTTGCATGGGACATTGTGGGACAATGATCGTAAGAAGAAAAATCCTCCCCATCTGGCCTAGCCTGGGCCTCCTTGGACGTGACCTTGTTCTGCCCGAACACACAGAGCCAGTCCCGGACGAACAGGAAGGTCACGTCCGCTGAGCTTCCTCTCCACATTCACAAAGGAGAACTCACAGGGCGCCTCATGGATCGTATGAACGGACCCCACAAGAACTCACCATGGATCTATGAACGGACCCCACAGGAACACCCTGGCAGTGATTTGTGCCAGTAGGCAGAGAGGTTTTTTCAAGATGTTCTCACCAGCGCACCCCAAAAAAACCATTCACCCCAAGCCAACCCCACAAGAACCACTCTCCAGCTCAGAAACCTCGAGCACACTGCAACGCATGCCAGGAGGGGGGCAGAAAATCTGCCCCGGTAGCTTGGGGGCCTGACTCGACAAAGAGGTACCCGTTCAATGCCGATTAAAATAGAACTGGAGTCTCAGGCAGCAGGGATTGATCAAGGGGCGCTGTCATCCCAAACGCTCCACCCCAACCACGTGAACCTCAGGAGGTAGTTGGAGCCGTATAGGGAATAGACAACAACTTTTGGAGAGCATGTCTCAAATGATTTGTGCCAAGAGCTTGTTCGATCATCATCATTGAGCACATTTTTACACAAGGGTGACTGACCTGGGAGTCTCCCAGGTACGAGTGAGTTTTCGGGTTCACCCCGGTGTGTGAAGTGATCAGAGACGACTTGAGTTTACACCAGTCCAACTTCAGTGACATGAGGTCTTTGACTTGTAGGGGGCCTCGTGTAAATTCAAGTCGTCTCTGATTGAACTCACATCGGACACGTGACATGACGGGCCGTCGGAAGGGAGCCGAAGACGGATGGAATGGACCGGAATGGAGTCGTGCTTGGTTTGTTCGGTTTCTTAGAAGATGAGTATAGCTGGCCACCCTCCAGGTCTAGTGGTCTCATAAAACTAGATTATACCGGCATAGACCCCAGATAGCACTTCAAGAAAAGTTGGACACCATGGCAAGAGCGGGAGACAAGCTTGGGAGACATCCCACTCAAAGCCGGGAAAAGGATGGAAAAGGTAAACAAGAGCCAAATTATCTTATAACAAGGCGGCAGCGGCAGCCAAGAGCGAAATCAGGAACAGAGACAGAGACAAGCTTGGGAAACACGGCGGCAGCGGCAGCCAAGAGCGAAATCATGAAGGGAGACAAGCTTGGGAGACGAGCCGGCAGCGCAGCCAAGAGCGAAGTTATGAAGGGAGACAAGCTTGAGAAACAAAACGGCAGCGGCAGCCAAGAGCGAAATCATGAAGGGAGACAAGCTTGAGAGACAAGGCGGCAGCGGCAGCCAAAAGCGAAATCATGAAGGGAGACAAGCTTGGGAAACAAGGCGGCAGCGGCAGCCAAGAGCGAAATCAAGAAGGGAGACTAGCTTGGGAGACAAGCTGGCAGCGGCAGCCAAGAGCGAAATCATGAAGGGAGACAAGCTTGGCAGACACACCGGCAGCGGCAGCCAAGAGCGAAATCATGAAGGCTTGGGCAACAAGGCGGCAGCGGCAGCCAAGAGCGAAGTTATGAAGCGAGACAAGCTTGGGGAGACAAGGCGGCAGCGGCAGCCAAAGCGAAATCATGCGAAATCATGAAGGGAGACAAGCTTGGAGACAAGGCGACAGCGGCAGCCAAAAGCGAAATCATGAAGGGAGACAAGCTTGGGAGACAAGCCGGCAGCGGCAGCCAAGAGCAAAATCATGAAGGGAGACAAGCTTGGGAGACCAGGCGGCAGCGGCAGCCAAGAGCGAAGTCATGAAGGGAGACAAGCTGGAGAAACAAGACGGCAGCGGCAGCCAAGAGCGCAGTCATGAAGGGAGACAAGCTTGGGAGACATGCCGGCAGCGGCAGCCAAAAGCGCAATCATGAAGGGAGACAAGCTTGAAAAAACAAGGCGGCAGCGGCGCCCGATTTCCGCAATCCGAAACCCATCCATTGAGAAGTAAGAACTGCGGGGAATTATATACCCTCCAGGTCAAAACGATGGTCTTGAAAAAATAGATCTAATAAGTTCAGGCAAAGATCCATGAGATCACAGGGGCACCTGCTGGAAAAAAGGTTCTAGATCCAATACACTTTGCCCTTCAAAATCAGGTTGAGGTATCTCTTCTCCTGAGTTCACAGGCTCCCAAGACCTGTACATATACTAGCAGGTCATTGGAATTTGGACCTATGGGTGCACAGTGGCTCCACTAATTTGTAATAGCTCCCCTCTCATCAAAAGTCCTCAAGGGTGATAAGTTGAAGGGTCTGGGATTTGCTCGAGCTTCGCCAGCTCCTCAAACCTCACCGCCCTCCCATCATCCTCCAAGCGATCTCTGTAGAACACCTGACCGGTTGATGATCTCATATGGTTGATGGTCTCACGTGCTGATTCATGCATGTCTTTGGATACTGAAGACTATGCTTCAGCAAATTCCAGCCTTCAAGACCTCCAGGATCTTCTCCCTGTGTTTGGAATCGGGCATGGTGCCCACCCAAGCCCACCCACTTTGAGCCCACAACTTGCAGCTGGGCAGGTGATCAAGCAGTGCACCCGGCACACCCAAGCCCTCCATGGGTAAACATGCCGTCTCACCTTCTCCTCGAATGCTCTTCACAGAAGCCCTTCGAAGAGCCAATGACCGCTTCATGGCTCCCACTGGGCCATCCAGTCATGAAAATCTAAAGGCTTTTCATTCGTTTATGATGCCTGTCCATCGAGTCTTTGACCACTACATTAATGGCTCGTGGTATTGATGCCAATCCAGTACTAAATCCACATGGAATGACCTCCTGGAGCCATGCAAAAGACCATAACGATCAGAATGACAACAAGTACCTAGAAGTCATTGGAAAGTAAATAGAATTCATTAAATCTGTTTTCTAATGATCTAGTTTTACGAGACCATCGACCTGCAGGGATATATATATATAATAGATATGTAATATAATATATCTAGTATATATTATATAAGAATATATATATATGTATCCGTGGATGTTCAAGGTAATAGTTGCACTAAATGATGTGTCCAACAGTTGTTGGCTGGATGTGCAAGGTTCATGCGGATGGCAGCATTGTTAGGTGACAGCTTGGACTCCTCTCTCCTCGGGTCGCTCGTCTCGTCCTCTCTTCGGACTGGACTGGCGCCCCCCCACACGCCACAAATGGACCACATGCAACCGACGTAGCCATTGGGATCGCGCCTCGGTGTGAGAATGGATGTCCGTGGTGAATTTGAGGGATCATGGGAAGATCATGGAGGTGCGATCTTGCGCGCTGATCAACAGAGGCTGCAATTGGGTTGTCTGGGAGTTCATGGGAAAAAATGTAAGAAAGGTACCACCTTCATGCTCATTTAGATCTGGGAAACCAAAACAAGTCTTCAAGTTCTGGTGGGCAGTCACAGGTATTGGCAAAAGGTCATCTATATTGCAATCGTATGGCACTGCCCTTGCACAATGTTGCATGTCTATCGGCTTTCGGCAAAATAGATAACATGCCAACCATATACCGTATAAAAAAGGTCAATGTATGTTTCGCTGTACCTTCGGTAAAGCAAGGATAACCTTCTCAGAAGGGAAGGTTTTCCTTGCACAAAGAAGAAATGAATGCAAGAAAAAAAATCATGTCCAGTTTGCACTTGCCTAGGTTATTGAATGCGCGATGTATCGGCTCCAAAACGTGGAGAAAAATCGCCGGAGCTTCGCTGAGCTTCGCTGGTCATGTGTCCGTCACCGAGCTCGCTCGCGGTGCCGAAGGAGCAGACGTCGGTGCACCGAACGGATGGGGACGAACCAAAGCACCCAGGCCCTCCTTTGTGACTCCTGGATCGAAGCCTTTTGACCAGTCCAGCTGGTGTCCACTCACTCGACGGTGTCGGTCCGGTCGAACCCCGAGCTCGCTCGGCGGCAGCTTCGCTTGGCCGAGCGCCAGCTTCCCGGCGTTGCGTGGGGGGCATCGCCGGTCACGAACTTCCGTCGTGATCCCAAGCGTCCTATACCCCATTTCACGGCTCAGAAAGCCGCGGCTAAGCCGCTTTGTTGAGGGTCTCTTTCTCCTTGTCAGCAGCAAGAATCCCTGTGGCGAAGACGATCTTTCAGGACTATACTATGGACCTCTCCTGAAACACAGATCAACTGGGCTTGAAGCTTGTGGATTTCTGGTGCACGCACTTTTGGCACCAAGCCCAAGGTTCACATCCAGTTGGTCTTGAAAAGCCCATGAAACCGCAGATAGCTCGTTGAAAAGCGAGCTGTCGCCTATTGTTCTTTTTCGGCAAATGCTCTGCGAGGGAAATCCATACCCACCTGCAAACACAGCAGCAAATCCTATATGCACTCAGGGAGCCCAAAAAGCTTGACTTTCGCCCAGACCAGGCTGCCTTGGTTGCGCCATGTTCTGGGCATCCCAGCCCGTCCAAGTTATAGCGGTCATTCAAATAGATGGCCGTGGCCAGGGCAGATGCTCCATCTTTGCTCCACTCGAGGACCTGAGGGCGGTCGCCCTCACGAACAACACCGGTGCCAACGCAACGAAGCAAGACTGTTTTATGATGATCCTATACCAGGACCCTCCTGGCCAGGCTGTTTGGAGAGCCCACCACAGGTGGTTTTGGGGCACCTTTTGTCACCAGGAAGCACCTGTGAAGTCGGGTCCAGGTATGTGCAAAACCACCATGACAAGACAAGATCTCTGAGATCTCTTTAGATCCCAAGGTGTGGTGATGTTTCAGCCCCGCAAGGGGCGCTGAATGGACGGGTCCAGCATTTACTTCGAACTGCTCAGGAGCTCCGAGAATGCTCGGATTGGTTTACGACATCGACTGCCAATCATCCTGAACCTCGAAAAAAAGGCGGCCAATGCCATTGTCCGGCTCTTCCCATCCCCATCCTGAAAAAACACCGGCCCAAATCCCCGCCACCACGCGGCATCAATAGCCGCAACCAGTCACAGGGTCCATGAAAACCCCGACCAACCCACCAAATTAGACCCATTCCCTTCGTCTTCAGCGTTCGTGGCCCCAAACAAGAAGGCTTCCGTGGCGTGCCCAAAGAAGGTCCTCCTTCCTTCGTCCTTCGGCCCTTCAAGCCCGTCTTCAGCTTCAGACTCCGCCTTCTTGGCCCAGTACATCCGAAGGAAACCGTGCATCTTGCCTCCACGCACCACACGGGCTGTCCCTTCGTCCCATCGGGAGTGGAGTGGAGGGTGGGATGCCAGGGGCGTCTTCCCAAACGATGTTGAACCTTCATCTAGCCTGCATGAAACGGAGTCCACGTAGGAGATCCCTAAAGGAATTTGGAAACGGTAATGTTCTAAGTGGCGGCTTGTGAGCTTGTGCACGGTTCGGCTTCTGATGATTGATAGTTTTACAACCTTCGGTGGTGCTACCTTCCATCTGGCCTTCTTCGTTCAATTTAGGACGGTGGACTAAACATGCCCTGCTTTTCAACAGGGTGGAGCTGACGGATTCCATACCATCGCCCGGAAGCGGAACTTGGGGTTGGCACTTTCTACCTTGGGTTCTTGTCCAATTCCAAGCGTCGATTCGTGGTCGAGGCAGGAAGTCCTTCCAACATCAGGGACCCTTGTCGTCCAGTTGAGCAGGTTTGTCTTGGATAAAGGTCACTGCCTCAAGAGGAGTTCACTGCCTCAGGAGTCGGGCTGAACCACCAAACCACCTTTGGGCCTCGGTCTTGGACCGGGTGCGACCAAGGATTGGCCCTGTGAATCTGTCGAGGTGCCCTTCGTTTTGATCCACTGCTGAGAGAAAACACGGGTGTTTCCCAGAAACAAAAGGCCTTAACCTACTGATGTTGGAACATGTTGGAACACTCCAGCTACACCATCAATAATCAATAAACAAAATGTAATCTTCTGCCATCTGTCCATCTGTATTTGACTTCACGGACAACTTCGCCTCCTCTCGTGCATCCTCTCACGCGCCGTCTCCCGGTCATGCCTTCCAGAACCATCTGCCGTTGAGCCCTCGGCCGGACCGCAGATTAGATGGTAGACGGCCTGAGGATGTGTATAAGGAGCACGCCACATGCCACACGCGAGTGCAACATGTAAATCTGCCATATCGTCTGACAATCTTACTGGCATTCTAGCGGGCATATCTTCTGATATTCTTGCTGGCACCTGCTCTCACATTCGTTCTGACCTTCTGTCTGGCATATCTTCTGACATTCTTACTGGCATTCTATCTGACATATCTTCTGACGTTTTATCTGGCATATTGATTGAAATTCTTAATGGCATTCTATCTGGCATCTATTCTGACATTCATTCTGGCAATCTGGCTTATCTTCTGACATTCTATCTGGCAGTGTCCGTATTGGGTTCAGGAGTCCATTGTGTCAGGGCGACTTGTTTGGTCCCCGCACGCATTCCACAGCTCGTCATGCGTCTTAGCCTCGAAGAGCATCAGAGAACCGGGAAGAAATGTTGGATGACCATCCCTCTGTAGCGTAGAATGATTCTGGGGCAAAATGACAACTGCTCCGAGCTTCTAAAGAAGAGCTTTGCCAAGAACTATCACGTTAAACATGTGATTCGTCTTCGTGGAACCTCCGACAAAAAACTGAATCATGTTGACTCATAATCTGGAAGATGTCGTTGGAGTCCCCAGCCGACCATGGACCATGGAAGCTCTGAAAATGAGGGACTCACTAGTTCTGTAGATGTGATTCGAAGTATGGGGGTTGATGTGGAACATCCTGAAAAAGAAGAGACATATATATATACCGGTTCATCATCTGTCCATCGCAGCCTGGCGTTTCCACTTAATCATCTTGGACAATCGGGCTACTCAGCTCGAACCCGCTCGAAAAAAACCATTGACACTGGCTTGCAGAGGACAAGACTTGCTCCTTGCAGGGCCAAGCTGACGCCCGGACGCCACATGCCCCTCTTGTGGCATGTAGGGCCACGGCACTGGTCGAATAGAAGAACTGCCACGAAGACCATGATGACCCAATGTGACCCAATGTACCGTATGATGGATCATGATGGTTGTTGAAGTCGAGAGCAACATGTACACAACATATTGACTGGGTAAAAAAAGCTTCGGATCGAAGTAGAAGTCGAATCAACATGTGTTCTTTTAACTGCGGCCCTCATAACATATCGGAGTTCAACGGAAAGGGTTGGGTGGGCCTTTGTCACACCTCGTAACCTCCAATTTCAGTGTTCCACTTCAACCATCAAGCACCCAAGCTTGATGGTGTTAGTGAGTTCTCACCTGTGTTTCTTCATACCCAGCCTCTTCAAGCTGTCGACGGCTGTAGAGGTACTCGCGCTGGTCCTCATGGTGCCCCAGACGGTTCGACCCGGTCGGTTCGACCCACAGGACCCAAGCGATGAAGCTCCGAGCTGAAGTGGTTGGACATGGATGTTTCTATATCCGATACACATCCGTTAGATCCGTTAGATGATGTGCATCGATATCGATGGTTCTCTAGTCAGAGCTGATTCATGTGCAACAAGTGGATCTAGCAACTATGAGTACTTCACTCTTCGCCGAAGGGCTTGGGCCGCTGAAAAGGACAACGATCACTGGTGCTGTGATCGGCGTCTCCTTCTCAACTTCTCCACTTCGGCCGAGGGGCTCGGCGGAATCGCCCACCGAGTCACCAACCTTCCAACCCTTCTGAGAGGTTGAGAGACCTGAACTAGGACCCTAGCCTGTGGTAGTTATGGAATGGGCTCTTTTGGAGGGGGCTTGTTCAACCTCTGTCCTTTGGCGACGACTTTTCGACCCCAACCACGCCACGGCAGGGCGCAGCCCCTTTTCCGCGCCTTGCGATGCTTGTTCAGTGTCTCGACCTCGTGATCTTGGAGCCGCAGCGAGGCCAAAACGGCGCCTTCCAATGTCTTCCAATCACCCCCAAGTAGCTTCTATTCCAGGAGGTAGCCCCATCCGGAATATTCGATTGGACTGAGGGATACACTCCCTGGAACTAGCATGGAAGTGGAGAATGACCCCTTGGAAGACCATTTTCCACTACAAACAGGTGGTTTTCCACTTCCATGTTACTTCTAGGGAGTGTAATTACTGTGGGCTTCTCCTGGCCCTCGAACATGCCCATCGGTCCAAATACCCCAAGCCCTCGGTCGATCAAGCACTTCTACAGACGCCACCGTCGGCCGTTTTCGGGTTGGCTTTGGGTTGATTGGCCAACTAAAGACAGTTCCAAAGCTTTTGGGGTGCCGCCGTCCGAGCCGGCTCAGATACCGCTGTCGCTGGCATCTTCAGTCCCTAGCAAAGTTGAGATTGTTCTACTCAAGACCTTAACTTTACTACCTAGACCATCCAATCCAAAGGGTGTCCTGTCTGGAGATCCCGGATAGTAGTGTAGGGTCCATTGGACACCCATCGGATGGTCCTGAGGTCCTGGTAGGTAAACTACGACTTCCCATCTCATATTCGAGGCAACTTGTCATCCCGACTCATCCCTCCGTGCATCGTTCGAAGAAGCGGAGAGCAAAAGAGAAGAAGCACCTCTGCCACCCTGGAAACCCCAATGACAATCCAATGACTCAGTTTTCCCATGGTAGTGGGTAATTAGTTCATGAGTCAAGTTACGGATGGCCTGGACCACGGAAAATTGGACCCCGCAGCCCGATCCGCGGCCCATCCGACCGATAAAAACCTGTCAAAACAGTGGCCTGTTCACACCATGCGCGCAGCAGCAAATATGGGTGTGTTCATGTTGCTTCATGCCTGGTTTTCCCAACCTGAGGATTCCCTGGAACTTGCTTCAAGAAACCGAGTGACTGAGGAACCTCATGGTATTTTTGCATGAGATACTTCAGATCCAGGTCCTTCGTTCACCGCTGTCCTCGACCCCATCCAACTCCACCGGGGAACAGCCCAGGCGGCCGCGCCCTGAGAGTGGTCACGGTCCGCCGTGAGAAGCAGCGGCCCCCGGGGCCGGGTCGGACCGAGCCACCTAAGGTGGAAGAAAAGGGGGGTCACCGGTCACGTCAGACATAGACTGAGCCATGGAAACATCCAGTAGTTCGGTCTTGAACTCCCAGGGTGGCGAACATCTATGGGAAAGGGTGGTGATTGGCACTGCCAGCATTGGCCAGAAGCAGCTCATGTCTGCTCGAAAAACCTGAGTAGAAACACTTGAAGCATGTGGATGGTCGGAAGAAAACTCGTGAAAACACAGCTTAGCAAATCAGCGCTGTAATTGATTGCTTTGAAACAACGATAAACTTCTATACTGAGCTACTGTCACTGTCACTGGGGCAAGACAACTCAGTTCATGAGGCCTCTTGCCCCTGCTGAAGGATCAACGACAAGCTAGACAGATCTGGACAGGTACATCGTACTGGCTCGATAGAGTCCCATGATCAATTTTCACCCAACCACCGCCCTTGTGCCCTTCAACCAAAGAGTCCGGTTTGCAGAGCCCCCGGAGCCCCATGCCCGACCTTGTCCTTCAGCTTCACCATCTTTGGGCGCGAACGCGTAAGCCCATTGCCCCCGTTCCAAGCCCATTGCATACCCTGCCTTTAAGGAGTCGTAGTGCTCGTTGTACCAGCAGAAGTTGTCGGAGAGCTCTCGTCGCACGATGGCCTGATGTGGCGTCCCGTGAATGTTCAGTGAGTCCCAAATTCTTCCCAGCTTCTTCTTGGTCCATTCACTATGATTCAGTCTTATGATTCCATACATATTTTATTCATTCCATAAAACCTGGAATACACTTCCATTCCTTCCATTCCAGCTTCCCCATGACGGACCGGATCCGCCATTCTGAAACACTGATTTTCGTCCGGTCGTTCAAATATTCCTTTTGTATTTTGGGGTGGTCGGTACAGTAGTCCCAAACAGGGGTCATTCAGGTTCTATAGGCATATAATATAGAATATAGACATCATTAGACATCATCACAACATATCAAACTTATTGACTTAATCCTAATATTGACCTTTCCGTGGTGATTCGTTGCTTCGGCGTCTGGAAAAATGCTCGTCACCCCAGCCCGAAGCCAGGGCTGGCCTCGTCCAAGAAGGCTTCAACGGAGCTCTTCGGAGCTTTGGCCTGGTGGGCTCCCCACAAGCACCAACAGAGGTTGAAGAAGCTTATAGACACGAGATGAAGAGACCTAGTTCAGGGTTTTGTGGGACCGGCCCATAGCTATCCTCGGCATGTCGCAGCACCACGCTCTTCCGCTCTTCATGTGTAGTTTCTTTTTATGTTCACAAGGGTCAGGGAATGAATGTTTGATGTTCTCACGCGACGGTCGGGTGAAAGGGAAAGCCTGAAGATCAAGGGACTAGAAACAGGCGTTGTGCCCTTCTTTTCAGAAAGGTGGGTGCAAAACCATCGTTCTGCATTGCTGCATGGATCTGGGGAAAACTGTGTGGCAGAAGTCCAGGTTGCTTTGAGAGCTGAAACACTTCTTGGTTGCTTGGGACAATGTTATGTTGATCACACCTCTGCAAAAATTGACTCTCAGAAATTTCACGCATCCCGCAGGACTCCAGTGCTTCTCGTGCTTCTATGATGGCAAGTATATACCTGATTTCTCCATGCATGCATGGGAGTGAAAGTGAGGAGGCCGCCGAATCCGAGCTTCCGCCACTGGAGCCAGCTGAACATCACTGGAGCCAGCATGTTTCACCAATGGTTCTAATGTTTCAGCACATGGGTACTTGTTTGCAGATTAACATGGAACCCCGAAACCATTGGGTTGTATAGGAAAATGGTCTTCCATGACTGAATTCTCACTTTCCATAACAATCGTCTCCAGAAGGAGTACTTCCCAGCATTTGTTTCTGCCAGCTTCACCCCAATTCCCTCGCAGCCATCCGTATGCCCCGGAAGAGATCCTCATGGAACCGCTGTTTGTCCCCCATCGACTCGCCGTGCCGAATCCGCTCATCGCGACCTCCATCGCCCGTGAGACTGAGAGGTGCACCTTCTTCACCGTCAGCGCGCATCGCTGTGCAGAGATCTGACCAAACCTGAGAGGGAAAGTGGCGCAGTTTTGGAGACCTCTGAGGGAGGCATCCACCATGGTGTGAGAATGTCTATATAAGGGAATCACCTGATCCACCACAGGGCGGCTGAACTGTCTGAAGGATGGAAAGCAAGCCGTGATTGAATCCACAATGCACCTGTCGGCCATTCTCTCCTTGAATCTCCTTCATCTTCATGATCATTCTCCTCCTCCTCCCCACACTCAGAACCTCCTGATTCCCTTAATTGATCTTGTTTCAACTTTCAACCAACCCACACGAACCTGGGCCCTACCCCCAGCCCTGCACACCCCCGGTCACACGGATGATACGTAACTCGACGAGTCGCCGCAAAAGCAGCCTGCTCTGCTCAGAAAAGATGAGCCCTGTAGGTGAACCGCTGTCTCCCTTGATTTCCTTCATCCATCATCAAGTTATTAATGAACATCATATTATAAATATATATATTGCGATATATATAGCTATATATATATTTATTACATATGTATATATATTTATATGATGTTATATGTGTGTATTACATATGTATATTTATGATGCATGGTCTGCCAATATGCATTGGGTTTATGTCAGGATTAATTCATGGACCATTTTGATCATAAGAGAAACAGAAGTCAAAACGGATGTTATGGTTCATTTGATTTTGCTATCTACACCAAAGGAAAAAGATTGACTACAGTAAAGAATCCAATTTCATGAACCATCATGTGTCTTTTCATTCTCGCACATCACCATCTTATTACTTTATTGTGGTGGGTGATGTGAGAGGAAGAGTGTGGGTGAACAGTTAGACCAAGATATGAATGTGATGATTGGTCCGTTCACCCGGAAAATACCATATCTATCCATATCTTTCATATATGTTCATCTCAGCAGTTGCCAGTTGCTAACTACCCAAAAACCGAGGAAAGGAGAAGGACACCCCTCTTGGCTGAAAACCCAATGCTCCGGAGTGGCGCGTCCTTGTCAATCTTCGCTTGGGGTGCCCGACTTGATCCAGGGTGACAGGCCAGACAACGCCTGTCGGATCCCCATCTGGCTCTTTTTTACAAGATCTTCAAAGTCATTTCTGCCTGTCATCTGGTACGAGGGATCTGATGTCAAACCAACTTAAGTACAAACTCGTCCCGTCGAGTATAAGAAATATCCACAAAAGGGTCTCCTCGCCGTTCGTCCCCATATCACACCGGCATATCCCCGCCTGGAAAAGAACTCTCTGTGATACTCTGTGTGTCCACTCCTAAGAGCAACTAACTGCAACTCCTACCTCGAACCAAATTCCTTCACCCAGGAGTCACAAAGGGGTGTTTTTTTTGTCCCTAAGTGAGTGGATAATGGCCACCCCTATCCTCCAATAGGCACCCCTTTGTGACTGCTGGACGTTAAGTTCAGTTCCCATTTGGCATTGTACAGAAGCGGGGGGCATGCTCTGGGCTCTAACCGCATCAAACGAAGCTGTGAGCATTGGTGGGCAGGGCTTTGGCTAGCCTTGTGTAGATGAATAGCAATTAATAGCTGAGCCTCGAACAAGAACTCCAAGTAGAGCGTACACTGTCTCATCCGTTGTTTTTCGGCAATTCAACACTGATGGCACAGTCAGGGTCTAATGCCGTAACATACAGGGCTAATGCATCTCAGACATCTCCACTTAGCACCGACGGGTGCACTCCTTTTCCCGTGTGTGAGTGTAAAAAAAGGTCCCCTTTCCGGACTGACTCGAGACCAGGACCACTGAATGCAGAACTCTCGCAGGACCTCGCCAGGCGGACCTCTTGACTCTTGACAAGGCTCGGGAGCGCCTGTTGGGTGGGATCATTGCGTAGCGACGCGAAGCTCTTCAAACGATGCTTCAAGAAGTCCTGATCCGCGAGAAACCGCGCGCACGGAAGAATCTATGGCATATGTTAATTTTAACTTTATTCTAATAGCTTTTTGTTACTACTAGTAAGGCACTTGTTACTACTAGCGGAAGAATCTATGGCATATGGGGATAGCTCAACACCTGGAGCCCGACCCGTCCACCATCTAGCGAATTCGACGACCGACCACCAGGTAGGCGAAGACCGGTCGAGCGGGGCGAAAGATCGGTCTCCTGGTTTGGGGGGAGGTGGACCTGCATTTAAAGAGCTTCGCCCCAGTTTTGCTGGTTGAACCAGTCCTGCTTGGGAGTCATGCTTCCCTGCCGTCCGAGAGAGACGGGGACCGTCCTCAAGGCGCTTCTTTCCCGCCAAAGCACCCGGCTTAAAGAGCTCCTGGTCGGGTTCCGGCGGGCAACACAAGTGAAATAAAGGACAGTCCATGAACTCCTGTTTGGGTCACTGAACATCAGCTTCAAAGGAATCTTGTCACCATGGCACTCAGCATGGCCCATGCAGAACCCACCCCAGCCTGGCTCACGGGTCCCACTTCTCCTCAGCTGAAAGACTTCGACCGAGGTCGTCCCGGAGGGCCCCAGGCCCTCCGACCCCTCCCCCTTCGGAATCGTTTCGTACGTATGGACCTGGAGGTTCGAGCCATTGTGGGAGCTACCTGGACTGGGAACAGACTCCATGGGCTCCAGAGTTCAGCGATCTGAAGAGTGACTCTGGCTGGAACACGTGACTGACATTGACTGGCTGATGCAAAAAACCATTCTGGTTCGTGGGGTCATGACCTCCCTGCAGACTGACATGGATCCTGGAAATGACCCTGTGGAAGGCCACTTTCCCCTACAATGCAGTGGCTTGGGGGGTCCATGTTAATCTGCAAGTGGGTAAGCAACAGTCTACATTCCCAATCATCCCGAAAACACATGTCCAAAATCATCCTGGAAGTGGCTTGGCACCCAGCTGTTTGGTATTCGGATTTCATGGTCATCCGATTTCTCTGCGCCATCACCACTCTCCACATGCTTCACCTACTTGGGGGATGTGCCATGTGGTGGACATGTTACGGTGGATGCCAATCCTCCTCGCTTGAAGATGGTCACTAGAGGAAAAATGGTCTTCCCAAAGGCCATGCTTCATGTTGCATGGTCCCCAGGTGCCGGATGGCTTTTTCAGCGGCCGGCCACCCGGTTTCCTTTTGACGACCGTGTCTGGCGCGTGCTCTGGCGCGTGTGTGGTCCGAGTCTGGCTCAGCTCGGTGAGCGCCATGACACCGGAAGGACCCTTTTTCTCCACCAAAACACACCAGAAGGTCATGGCCTGCCAGGTCTCCCCTATGGCCTGCCAGGTCTCCCCCATCGCTGTGTGATCATGGCACCTGGAGCCCGGTCTCCCCACCTCGCCGCGGCGTGAACTGACCATGGTAGTGTAACTCGTGGCCTTCTCTGACCAGGTTTCGGTGGGTCAAACCAAGGTCTCCATAGGCACATGACCCCATACCTGGCTTACGGGACTGGAAAATTTACCTACATCTACATTGACACCTTGGGAAAAAACATGAAGCCTTGGGATAGGCATGACCATCCCATGTCCAAGTCATTCACATGACCAAGGGTCGATCCACTTGCAAGCTCCGCAAAGCCGCAGAGAGATCCAAGCCTCCGACCAAGAGAAATGCTCGGGAGCTCAGGCGACCAACAAATCCGAGGTGGTGTTCTTATCAATCAATTGTTGCGTCTCACGAGCAACTCCGAGTGAAAAGATTATTGTTATTTGTTGTTTCTTCTTCTTCTTCTTCTTCTTCTTCTTCTTCTCCTACGTACCCTTCTGGTGTCTGCTTTGACTGTTCGATGGATTGAATTTTGGGCTGTTCTTCGGTTGGAGTCAGCATCTGTCAGCATTCATTGATGAGTCAGATGTTGATCGGCATCATCTCGGAACAAGGCAACCGCATGTTACAAGAATTCACAAAGCAATTTGTTGGGTCCTGGACCCTGGACCCCTTGGAGGTCCTAAACCAAGCAAACCTGGCCGCATCCGAAAGAATTCCTTTTCTGACCGAGCCTTCAGTGGCAAGTGACCGAGCTGACCTTTGGTCTGTCATCGCTGAGCTGGGCTCCAACGGGTCCGAAAATCCCGGTTTCTTTGTATCGATCCACGTGGCCCAAAAACCGATGAAATGTGGCGCGTCCGAAAAAGGACGCTGAAAAACGTTGAGCAGATCCCTCATTAGATGTATCAGCGGAGACCAAAATGTAAGTAAGGCGTTTAAGGGCTTGTTCGGCTGATGGATCGGTGGTGTGCCCCCCCATGGCCTTCGAGATCGACACCAGGCAGGACTCTTGCTTTCAGCAGAGTCTCAAACCCCGAGGTCGGGGCTCTCAGCTCATCCAATTCAACGGGAAGCATCAAAGCCACAGTGGTTGTCGTGACCAAAGGAGTTGGGATGGCGGTACATTGTTTGTCGCAGTGAGGTGTATGACATAACACAGACGCTCCATGTCTGTCATATATGCCTACATTGACCCCTCAAACCACCCCAATGTAGGTAAATATGCCATACATGGAGTGTCTGGGACAGGATCCAATATACAGGTCTCGAAGAGTTCTGGGTCAAAGTCGTGCAGGATTTCGAAACCGTCAATGGTAATTCGTGCAGCACTTCATTCCGGGATGATGCGATTCTGCTCCAAGTGGGCGAGCCACCGAGCCACTTCCAAAGCAGATTCATGCTCGCTCACAGTCTCTGAAATATATATATATATAAATATCATAGGGGCCTTCTGGGGAATGGTCACAAAGGCAATCACATATATATATATATCCCTTTCCCTCTCCCAACCTCCCATCACCTGCATACGAGGCAAACACTGCAGTGCATGGTCAATGTGGAACCATATTTCATACAGGCTTGAGAGCAATCTTGGACATCCAACTGTAACAAGCAGCTGCTTTCCGACTAAAACCCGTCTCGGCTCCACCGTTCAGTCGAGATAGCCATCCCGTCGGAGGAGCCAAGACTGCCTTGACCTGAGGCCACCCAACGGTCGAACATGTCCCCCGCTCTGGTCGCACATCCTCAAATGGTTGGGGGAGGCCAGGAGCCGCCAGGAGCCCTAGGGTGTTGGCTAAGCTCAAGGGCATTCCCTTTTCAGGTCCCAATGCGATCCCAAGCTTCGTCGTTCAACAAGTGAGATGGCTGAATGCCAGGCCAAAGGATTGGATGACTTCTATAGGATCCCTTTATCACCAACATCTAACAGGTCACTCCTTGTTCCTCTTGGGATCCAAGGATCTAGAGCTTGGATTCACGTACATCCTTTTGGGGTGGACCAGAACATGCTGGAAGGTGCATCAAACAACTCTGGAATCAATACATTGAAAAATGTTGAAGCCGATCAATCTTTGAATTCTGAGATATTTATTCCCACCCTCCCTCCAAGAGAAAACCGCTTGGTAAACAAAAACCATCTTCCAAAGGGAACATGTTTCACCTCATGTTTGCTTATGTATATATGTTTCACTGCTGCTTTCTGGGTATCCTTAGACATAAGCCCACGCAAGAAAGTGCCGCTGTCTGTCCAGGGAAACAATGCAAATCTTCTCTCTTCAGCCCACATATCATCAAGATCCTGGTCAAAGCAAACACAAAAGTGACAGGCAATGAGAGGTCATGATAGGGTACAAATGCCTCAACGAGTGTTCCTCATGATGGAATCCTCAGCCAGGAACCCTCAGCATGGAACCCACGGCCTTGGCTCGTCTGGCCAAGAACTCCACCAGCCAAGAGGCAACGGGCCTTCCTTGTGGAGGTCCAAATCTCCAAAGTCGTTCACCCCCAACCGCTGCACCATGCGGGTCATCCCCTGCGAACCGGTGGAGGACGGGTGGAGACGGATGGAGATATGGAGATTCAAAGACAGTTTGACCTGGTGTTGTACCCAGACACTCATGGACCCGAACCTATGGAGGGGTCGGACTCTCCATTGGAGGGGTCTGGGGTCACAAATGCCTAGGTTTTGAGGGAGCAAGGGCTGTTTGGAGCGTCTGGGTAGTCTAAATTCCTTTGTAAGCCTTATATAATGGTGTTGGGGAAAAAAACCATCAAATCAACGACGTCTCGTCCCAGATTCGCCGTGGATCAACCATAACAACTTCTACTAGTACTTCTCACCTCAGATTCCCCAAGACGTATCCCTTCTGGTTGCCTGGTTGAACACCCTTGGGCCCCAGGAGTTTGGGGACGACGGCCTCCTTGTAGAGAAGGACCTCATGCTCCACAGCCGAGACCTGACCAGCTCGATACGGACGATCAGTCTGAGACCTGAAGAGTAGCAGACTTCAATAGACTTCATGTAGATGGACCGATGAGGTGGATCCTGTGGAATGGACCGATGGCTACGTGGATGGCCCTACAAACAGGATGACCCTTTTCTGAGGAAAGAGATGGTGCCAATGGGTGCCGTGTTCCATGTTTTGAAAGTTCCAGCGAGACGCTTGCCGCTTGATGTTTTTTGCGCCCTCCCCTGGAGCTGAGATGCAAAATCAAAAGTCGACCGATGATCCGTGAAAAAAAAAAAAAGTTCCTCCGATTCTAGAAGTCCGCATCACACCGAGGTGGAAAGAGGCTCGGGGAACAAGTGTGACATCGAGAGATGATCGACTGTGCGATCCTGTCTCTCTGATCGCCCAGACTGATCGAACAGCGCTGGCGCTTCTCTTCCCAGTCAGAGCCAGCCCTGACTCCCCGTGCGTCGCCCCGTGTGAGCGCGGCGAAACCATGCCGTCGCCTCCCAGGTGCCAGTGGAAGTCTCACGATCCACCATGCCTTCGCCCAGTTGGGAGATGATTTCACCTCGCTCTGAAGCTCGCCGCGGCGGAAGCTTCAACACGCGAACCGTCCATGAACACGCTCGGGTGCGGGTGTGGGGGTGCGGGTGCGGAGGGTGTCGGGAGGTCGAAGTCGGTCGATTCCAGTGGGTCGATTCGGTGGTTCGGTGGTTTGGCCGTGCGGCTGGCGAAGTGAACCACCGCGGCTGGCGTCTGTGACCCGGTGTAAGGGACTAAGCCATGGTGAGCCCAAAGGAGGAGGAGAGTCCCAAGGGACTCTGCAAACATGTATACAAAAATGAAGGGTCCTGAATCTGAAAAGCTGCAAACAGAGTCTGGATGGCATTTTAAACCCTTCCCAACAATATGGGGCAACTGTGATTACCCCAGTGGCCAAATAGGTTCATCTTTAAAAAAAAGAAGGTCAATTCAATCAATCGCCAACCAGAAGTCCATACTCCAAAATGCTTTTCTTTCCAGGTGGCCAATGTGTTTTCCCAAACCACTTATGGCTTGAAGAAACATCTCATCCGCAGTTGTTCTTTCAAGCAATCGGTAACCGTCAGTACCTCATGGTTTTCCTGCCCGACGTCGTCGTCAAGACGACGGCGGGACGACTGCGACGGGCAGTCGGTTCGAGCACCAAGCAGATGGAGTCTCGCACATGGGGTTCGAGCAGTGACTTGAGACGAGTCATGACAACCATTTCAGCCCAGACATCAGGTCATCAATGGCATGACAGACATGTGGAGCTTTGCATTTCAGAAATGACAGGACACTTCATACTGTTGAGGTCTTAGTTTTTACTGGAAGTCAAAAGAATCAGCTTTATAGTTGAATTTGATTTCCAGCCTTATGAAGTTGTGAATAGTTGTGAGAAGCAAACCCTTGACAGAATCTCCCAAGGGGTGGCCCCTAACTGCTGACTCCCTCAGTCTCCCTGTAAAATGAAGACAACGCTGTTCATGTTTATTTAGTGGGTAAAGGAATCCCCAAGAAAGGATGAAAGGTTAGAAACACACAAAGATTATGAAGAAACTCTAGAACGTGTTGGAACAACGCCAGCACGGCACCGATCTTTCGTTTCGGACCGGACCAGGGACGAGTCGACGTGGGCGTCAAGCTTGGGCGTCCGACATTGGTAGCGTCCATCTTCGCTCAGCTCCAGCTTCACGGACTCCAGCTCTTCGTCCATCTGCCAACCTGGCCACAAGCGGCCACCCGGACTGCAGCTGCTCCCCCCCTCGTTTCCTTTGGGCCAACCGCGAAAAGCACCTGTTTTGGAGGGGGGGGAAAGACTCCTGGACTGCCTGGACGCCGCCTCCGCCGGGCCGACCCTCCACCGAGCTGGCCCCCCCACGACGCACCGGCAGAGCCGTTGCGGAAGTTGGTTCGATGGAGAATTCTCAGGGAGCGAAGATCATGAAAACCACTGCAGCCGCCGTTTGTTTCGGACCTTCCGGTCATCTCTGGTTGGGTCCTGAACTACAGGCCTTCTCCAGACCCTGATCCTCCCATTTTTGCACACAATTGTCGATGTCGATGGCCGCATCAATCAAGAAACTCCTAATTCGATCTAATTCAGCTAATTTGGTGTCCACCGGAAGAGGCTCTGGCTGGTGAAGCGTGCCTTTCAGATCAAAAGACCAGGGGCCTCCAAAATATGTCCACCGGGAACAACTAGTTGTCTACTACGTAACCATTCATGGTGAAGCCCCATTTTCTAGAAAGTGACCGTAACCAAAATACCACCTGAAAACCTGAGATATTTTAAGAACCCATTTGCTGCCAGCTCACTAAAGCTGTAGCTTCCATGCAGCTGCCCCAAG